AAATATCCCAATAATAAGACAACATGAAATATAATTCAACTCAAAATTCTATCTTTACCAAATCCCATTATTCTTTTCATTAACATATAATTCAAATTTCTAAAAATAAATAGCAATGACATATCACATAAGAACTCATAAGTCATAAGCACTGTCATCACTAAGGGGTTCTTCATTTGAATCATTATTATGATGAACTGCTCTCTCCCCTTCCTCCTCTCCTATAGAGTCCAATGTTGGGCATTTACTTCAAGATTTATGTAAGTTTTAATATATATAGTGTGAGGCGTAAGCCTCATGCCAGTAAGGCGAGCCTCAACCAAGTTGAGGCGCAAGCCTCATAAAAAAAACTCGAGGCGTAAGCATCGAGGCATTTTTTACTGGAATTGCGCAAAGGCGGGCCTCAAGGCGAGCCTCGTATTGTGCAATTTTAAACCATGGTCTTCCAAAGTATGAACCAAAAGCTTAATCTCAGTTTTAGAAACCCCTACAAAAATAATAATGCCGTCAACATAAAAAGATGGGAGACCCTAGGCCCCCCAATAGAGATTGGAACACCCTTGATATGATCTCTTTGCTTCAAAGCCGAGGACTCATAAAATATACACACATCATCACTTTCTGCGATCCCTTTTGGCCATCCCAACATTAGACACAACCAAAAATTTTGACCTCTTCAAGTCAACAACCAAGAGTTTTTCTATTTCCTCTTGAATAGTTGCCTAGATCTCTAACAAGTGATTTTTCTTTTTTGATGAACCAATACCACTAATTGGATGCATACTTGATGACAAACGACATCAAGATCAACATCCGACATCACAAAGAGCTCCACACAAAAACATTGAGGTTAACTATATGCAGATTTATTAAATTGATTCTAAAGGTGCACCCAAAGATGCTATCCAGGTGGCAGGTGCTTCAACACTTACGGACTGCCCGATCAACAATATTTGTTTGTTACCCCTAGGAAGGTGCCCAAGGTTCAAGCATTGGTGGATGTTGTTTACATAACACTTCCAATAGACCATCAAGTCTTCCAATATAAAAGCCAACTATCAAGCTTAGGGAATTTAAGATAGAGGTGGTAGATCGACACATCGCCTAGAAATTATTCAAGATGGATCATTGAATATGGCATTGTGGAGGATGCCATCCTTAAGAGTACCATGTAGTCTTCCTTTAGGTGTTAAGTAAAAGTCATCTCCCATGATAACCTCAAGAGTGATCACCACCTCAAGGATTTGCCTCCCCCTAATGAATACAATAAAATCATCATAAGCCATACAGTAGTTCCAAGATTCCAATCATGTCATCTCAGTTAGGTATTGGAAGACAACATTCAGCATGCGACCTACCTTAAAGTTATTTAAAACCACCTAGATTATACTATCGTTGTTGCAAATGTTCCAAGCGGAAGAAAGATCTATATCAAAAAAGTAATAATAATAATAATAATAATAATAATAATAATAATAACATTATAAGAATTTATCTTTTGGGAATTGAGATATCTTAGAATTCGACTATGCATGGCTCCGACGTCGGGGAATATCTTGTGAGAATTGAATATGCATGGCTCCGACGTCGGGGAATTCTATGATGGCATCAAGGCACTTGATTATGCGTAATCCACCCAGCCTCCTCCACTCTATCATTTGGGATTGACCCAAGTCTTAGGTCTATTGCCCGATCAATGCTTCCACCAAAAAAGACTTTAGCTACTCTTCTTAGAGGAGGACTCTAACAACACCTTAAGGCACAAGTAGTCTATAGTCATATATAGCAATGTTTAAAATTGTGTATTCGGGTATTGAGGCGTTTTTCATTCGTGAGGCGAGGTGTAAGCCTTAAGGCATTTTGAGGTGTAAGCCTCAAAATCAAAAGATTGCGTAAACATAAAATGATAAATTTTTGAAGTGAATAATATAAAACATAAAAAAACATAAGATATAAAGTGAAATCAAAATATCTCAATAATAAGACAACATTAAATATAGTTCAACTCAAAATTTTATCTTTCCCAAATTCTAGTATTCTTTTCATTAACATATAGTTCCAATTTCCAAAAATAAATAGCAATGACATATCACATAAGAACACATAAGTCATCAGCACTGTCATCACTAAGGGGTTCTTCATTTGAATCATCATTATGGTGAACTGCTCTCTTCCCTTCCTCCTCTCCTATTGATGTAGACAAGGGGGGGTCAAATCAAACCAAAAAAATTTGATTTTTGACTTCTCCAGCTCATTAATGTCAAGTGGAAGGTTAGTTCATTATGAGCTAGTTTTTAGTTCATTTATGGAGCTAAAAATTAGCTCATTATTTCTTTGATCTTGACTATTCTCCTTCCCCCCCCCCCTCTGTCTATTCGTTTCCCATGGATGGCTCTTGGTTTTCCGTGCTTGGGCTCCTTGGTTTCCCCGGTTGGCTGCTGGTTTTCCGTGTTGGGTGGCCTTTCCCGTGCCTTGGTGCTTCGGTTCCGTGCGGGCATCCTGGGTTCTTGCGGCTGCCTCTTCAGGTTCCGCCTGGGCTGTTTTCCCGTGGCTGATTGGGGGGGCTTTCCCGTGGCTTGTGGTGCTTTGTTTCCTGTGCAGTTTTGGGAAATGTTGAAGTGGTTGTTGGCTTTTCATTTCCCTAAATCTATTTAGCTTTTTAACTAATGTTTTATGGTTGTTTGTATTCCCCTCATGCCTATATATAGAGTTGTTTTGGGATGTTAAGAGAATGTTATATGAATGATTTTGGAAATGGGTTTTGTTGGAAAAGCTTGCGAGCTTGTTCCATTCTCCTTCTCATCTCCTCTAGGAAAGACTTGCGAGTTCTTTTCACCCCTCGTCTTGGCTTCTAACCTCTTTCGTCTCTCCGCAAGTACCACCTCACCTGTATCCTTCTTCTAATGGATGAAAGCTTCTTTAGGTGTTTGTTTTGAAGTCATAAATTTGTCAAACGTTTGTAACCGTCAAAGTTTGTAAGAGTCCTTGTTTGTAAGTCCTTTTATAATATTAAAGTTGTGTTTTGTTTTGTTATTTATATTTTGTCAAGTTTTTGAGTATTTTATGTCTTTATATCATCCTAGAAAGAGTTTTTGTTTTTGTGATCAAAAATTTGGGGAGGGCCCAAATTTTTGATTGCATTAATAGAAAGAGTTTTTGTTTTTGTGATCAAAAATTTGGGCCCCTCCCCAAATTTTTAATTGCATTAATTTGGTATCAGAGCAAGTTAGGAAGTTCTAGGTTTTTAAGTTGGTTTGTCAAGTCAAGTCTTATTGTGTAAGTTTTGTCATGTTGTCATTTGAGTCTTGGTGTCAAGTGAGCAAAATATCAAGCCATGATGTCTCTTGATGCAACGCCTTCAGAACAAAGCTAACTCATCGGGAGATGAGTTCCAAAGAAGGGAATTCTGATGTAGATAAGGGGGGTCAAATCAAACCAAAAAAAAAATTATTTTTGACTTCTCCAGCTCATTAATGTCAAGTGGAATGTTAGCTCATTATGAGCTGGTTTTTAGTTCATTTATGGAGCTAAAAATTAGCTCATTATTTCTTTGATCTTGTCTATTCTCCTCCCCCCCCCCTTTGTCTATTCGTTTCCCGTGGATGGCTCTTGGTTTTTCGTGCTTGGGCTTCTTGGTTTCCCCGGTTGGCTGCTGGTTTTTCGTGCTGGGTGGCCTTTCCCGTGCCTTGATGCTTCGGTTCCATGCGGGCCTCCTGGGTTCTTGCGGATGCCTCTTCAGGTTCCGCCTGGGCTATTTTCCCGTAGCTGATGGGGGGGCTTTTCCGTGGTTTGTGGTGCTTTGTTTCCTGTGCAGTTTTGGGAAATGTTGAAGTGGCTATTGGCTTTTCATTTCCCTAAATCTATTTAGCTTTTTAATTAATGTTTTATGGCTGTTTGTATTCCCCTCTCATGCCTATATATAGAGTTGTTTTGGGATGTTAAGAGAATGTTATATGAATGATTTTTGGAAATGTAAACCTACGGGTTTTGTTGGAAAAGCTTGCGAGCTTGTTCCATTCTCCTTCTCATCTCCTCTAGGAAAGACTTGCGAGTTCTTTCCACCCCTCGTCTTGGCTTCTAATCTCTTTCGTCTCTCCGCAAGTACCACCTCACCAGTATCCTTCTTCATATATATATAGCATGAGGCATAAGCCTCATGCCAGTGAGGCAAGGCGGGCCTCAACCAAGTTGAGGCGCAAGCCTCATAAAAAAAACTCGAGGCGTAAGCATCGAGGAGCTTTTTACTAGAATTGCGCAAAGGCGAGCCTCATATTGCGCAATTTTAAACCATGATCTATAGTATCATGCCAATACTTATTGTGGTACAATGGCATCATTGACCTATTGTGATCCTTTACTGGGAAGTGATGAGCTAGCTAGCAAGCAGGTACTTCTTACCTTGGATGGCTATGAAGATCTCACAAAATTTATGATTGAATTGTGGTAATAGTCATCAGTTGCTTTAGCATCAAACAAGTGTTGACTCCTCTTGCAACAAAAAGCATGATGACTATCAAGATGGCCATGTTGATCATCGCAGCTAACATTGTAACCTGCTAGCCTAGGGGTATAAACTGTCCAATCATTTCTTGGCCAACTCTCATTATAAGGGGCTAGGGTTTAGTGAAGAAATTTTGCATTTTTGTTATTTCTCCAATGAATTGAGTTTGTAACCCAACTTTTACATATCCAAAAATTTGAAGTGATTTTGTACCCTCGTGCAATTGAATTTCATTTTGCTTCACAATGAAAATAAAATTTATTTTATGTGTATACAAAAAAAAAACTCCTAATTTTAGCAACGTGTGCAAAAAGGTATAAGCAAGACGATATTTTTTTGTGGCCTGCATAAAATAAATATCAAATAAAAAAATATATTATTAATATATAATTCACAACTTTCACTGTGAAACTTGCATTTTTACTGCCAAAACCAAATGCTACATGCAGATAAAAGAACGAGAAAAAAAAAATAAAGAGTTAAAAAAAAAAATTAATACCTTCTCATATGCTGATCGCTTCAAGGTCTCTAGCATCACATCATAGCTTACTGTTGCATGCCTTGACTGAAAAGAAAAAGTTTTATGTTACTGCACGAACAAGGGAACAAACCAATCGTCTTTTTCATATTATTTCCAGGTCGTACCATAAATTGAAGTATATAGAAATTATCTCAGCCTAATACTCTCTTCAAATAGGAGAAAAGACATCAAAGAAAAGCTGCACTATGTGGTGCATGTTGATTATTGAAGATGTTTACCTTCATTGATCTCATTTCTTCTAGTGCAGAAAGTATGTCCATGTCTTGCTTTGAATCTAATGCTCTATTCTCCAAAGACTTCATGGCATCCCCTAACTCCTCTGTCTCTCTTTTCTGTTTCTCTTTTTCTGCAGCCTAAAAAACAAAGATGCAAACTTGAATAAATATGGTGCAAACAACAAAACAAACGAAGGCAGCAAAGAAATTATAAAAATGCAACAATTCTCACCTCCTCCTCTCCACGCCAAGGTTCAAAATTCCGCGAAGCTCCAGATTCAACAACATAATCTGAATTTTGAGGATCCGTCTTTATAGTGACCTCAGCTGAACATTTTGTGCATTTAAAATAGAAGCGGAATATTTGAATACCCAAGTATGTCTACAGGTGGAAAAAAGAGGAAAAAGTACATCAATGACTATCTCAAATGTTACATAAATCAAAGACAACAGTGAAATCCTTTAAAATGTTGTAAGAATACAAGTCTGAGCTAAACAAGTTGAAATACACAGCAAAAAATCTCAAGAATATCGACAGTAAAGAGAAAATAATGGAAAATTGAACCACCCAAGAACCAAATCTTAGGTTAGTTTTGACACTGACTTCAACAGAATCCATCTTCAAACTCAAATATCATAGAGATCAAATTTGTAAAGGCTTGATCTAATCTGAAGAAGGGTCTGATCTAGAGAGAGAAGTTCCAGGATTCTAGAGAGAGAAGTCATCTTTTTCAAAAAAAAAAAATTTCCCGGGTTCTTCTTCCGTTCTTTGCGGAATTGGATTCTCAGGAGTTGATGGATGGCTGCCGGCCTTCCCCGCCGACGGTAGGTAGTGGAATTTTTAAAGGAAGAGGATCTGTCTTGTCGATGGCGGTGGATGGTCACCGGTCTTCTTCGGCTTTGACGGATGGCAAGATTGTTAATGTGGATTCTATTTATCAAGATTTGGGTGGGATTATTCGTAAGAAGTCTAGAGATGTTGTTGTTAATCGTCTGAATGGGCCTTTGTTGATTAAGGAGAATGTTATGGATTCGTCCAAGAAAGTTGTGTACGTCGAAGGTAAGGGAAAGGCGGTTGTCGAAAGTGTTGAAGTTGGTTCCCCTGTTGTAGCAAGGAAGGTTTCTGATCAAATTTCTTTTGATCCGGCGGAGACCTCTTCTGAAATGAACATTTTTGTTAAAAGGTTCGGCAATTCAAATGCAATCTCTGGTTTAGGCCACGGGATAAATGCGAATACTTGTAATTCTGTTAACAAAGGTGTTCAATTCTTATCAAGGCCTAATTCTGTTGGTACAAATTTGGTGGATAAGGTTGATGATGGAATGCCAGTTAAGAAAACGGATGGAGTGGTTGAAAATCCGTGGAAGAGGAAGCCTTACATCATGTTGGATTTCGAGGATGATATGGTCTTCTCGGAAGACGGTAAGTCTGTGAAATTGGTAGAAGAAATGGAGGTTTCAAATTCTCATAAGCTCAGGAATTCTTTGGTGATTAAAGTTTTTGGCAAGGAGGTTCCCCCTCATGTTGTTGCTTGGGAAATAAGGAGACAGTGGAAACTCTTCGGGAATTTCCATTTTACAACTTTGGGGAAGGGATGGTTTTTGTGTTCTTTTGAGTCATCTGAGATGATGGAAGGAGTTTTATCGGGAGGGCCTTGGTTTGTCAACGGCTACATTGTGGGGATGGAGAAGTGGTCGTTAGAATTTTCCACTCTTTCTTTGAAAGGTTTAACCTCACCAATTTGGATCAGAATGCTTCACTTACCCTTGCAATGTTGGGATGAAGTGAATGTGGCTCATATTGCTTCAGCTATCGGGAAACCTTTGATGATGGACGGTAATATATTTCAGTGGGGGAAAAGAGAATTCGCTAGAGTATGCATGAGAGTTAAGCTGGATCAGTGTCTTCCTTTAGGAGTTTGGGTTGATAGCATCTCTGGGAAATTCTTTCAAATTTTTTAGTACGAGAAAGTTTCGTCTCTTTGTTATAGATGTGGAATGGTGGGGCATCTTAAAGCTGAATGCAAATTAAAGGTTACTGGAAATTCTGGCAGGGAGATGAATGAAGGTGAGTCAAGGGAAGCTAAGGAGATGGAAAATATTCAAGAGGAGGGTTCTGATCTCTCTTATGGTCCTTGGATTATGGTGAAAAAGAAATTTAATAGAAGACCTGTTGTTCAGAAGGTGAAACCGAAAGTTGTTCAAAAACAGTGGATGAAATCGAATGGAATTCATGTTGATATGGCTGGGAAAGTAACTCAAAGTGTTGATGCTTCTGATAAGGTGGAAACTATTGCTGAGGTTAATCTCCTGGAGGAAGGGGAGATTCCTGGAGAAGAGGAGGCGGCTGTTCCTGGAAGGGATTCTGCTTGTACGCATTTTCCTGATGTGGGAATTATTGATTCTGATTCTGTTGAAGCTCCTCCAAAGTTTGTTGGTAAGTTTTCTAGTGATAATACCCCTTGTATTCCAGCCAATGTGAATAAATTTGATGTGTTGGAAGGGGTGGAAGATGAGGGAATTGGGGATGTTTGCATTAAATCCAATACTGGAGGTTGTGGGAATTTAATCAGTGAAGGGGTTCCTCCTATTGCTGGGAATCCTGATGGTGATGGATGTATCAAGGGCTGTGAGGGAAGTAAGGGTGTTGTGAGAATTGAGAAGGAGATTGTTTCTAGTGGAGAACTGGTGAAGAGTAAGCTTGCAAAGGAGCTTAGAGCTTTGGGCCCTATTAAAAACAATTCTAGAGGTAGAGTTGTGGATGGAGGCATGAAGAAGAGAGTTGGGGGCTCTTCCCCTAAACTTTTTTAATGGAATCTATTGTTTTTTGGAACTATAGGGGGGCCAAAAAGAGGGAGGCCTCTCTTTATTTAAAGGAAATTGTTAAAGACTACAAAGTATTCTTTGTAGGGTTGATTCAAACTAAAATCTCTTCTATGGATAAAGATTTGTTTGTAAGGATGATGGGGCTTGGTTGGGATTATTTCCTTCTTCCCTCGGAAGGGCTTTCTGGTGGAATTATAGTTCTTTGGAGATCGGATTTGGCAGCATTTTCAGTTTTAAAAACTTCAGATCAATGTGTTATTGGTGATCTCAATGTCTTCAATAGAGGAGTTTGGATGATTTCAACAGTTTATGCTAGTAAAGAGACTATTAAGAGAAGGTATCTTTGGGAGTTTGTTCAGGAGGTTTCCCATAGAGATATTCCTTCTATTGTTGGAGGGGACTTTAATTGCATTTTGGCTCAAGAAGATAAGAAGGGTGGTAGAAGGTTTAGATTCTCTCAAGGCCCTTTGGATATGGTAAAGTTTATGAATGAGAATGACTATCATGAAGTTGGATTTGTTGGTCCTAGATTCACTTGGTGCAACAACAAGAGTGGAGGAGGACGGATTCTGGAAAGACTTGATAGGTGTATTCTTAATACCTTGGCCATCAACAAAATCCAAATTACTGTGGTTAGACACCTTGCCAGAGTTGCTTCGGACCATTGTCTGATTGTTTTGAAGATATTTGATTCGGTTTGTAAAGGAAGAAGTGGTATTAAGTTTGAAGACACTTGGTTATCATTTAAGACTGCTGAGCATATTGTCACTGGTAGGTGGAGGAGACCCTTCTTGGGGGATGACATGGAAGTGCTTAATAAAAAATGTAAAAGGACCTTGAAAGATTTATTCTATTGGATCAAGGCTAGATTGAAGAATTTCTCTTTGGAGAAAGACAGGTTGAAAGCTGAAATTCTGGATTTGCAAGAAGAAGAAGCGAGGAATGGTTGGCTGACTGAGGAGAAGCTTTGGGCACTTAAAGCTAAAGTCAAAGAACTTAATGCTGTTCTTCATAATCTGAACACCTGGTGGAAGCAAAGGGCAAAGGCTAAGTGGATTAAGGACGGTGATGCAAATACCAAATTCTTCCATTCATTTGCCAATTCTAGGAGAAATGTCAATTGGATTTCTCAAGTTAAGAATTCGAATGGCGTACTGACTGATGATCCGAATGAGATTGAGGAGGTGTTTAATAAGTTTTTTCAGAATAAGTGGAAATCCCGAAGCTGCTGCTTTGATGGATGGCCTAAATCGTGGCTTGTTTTGCAAGACAGTGATAAGACCTTGTTGGATAAGGATCTGGATGAAGCTGAGATTAAAGATGTTATTCTAGATCTGGGCAGCAACAGAGCACCGGGCTTTGACGGAATTACCTATTCCTTTTTCAAAGCTTTTTGGTATATCATTAAAGAGGATGTAGTTAGAGCTGTGCAACAGTTTTTTCTCACAGGTTCTATGAGCAAGGAGTGGAAAGACACCTTAGTTGTGCTTATTCCTAAAACTTCTAATCCAAGCATTCCTTCAACTTACCGTCCCATTAGTCTGTGCAATTCAATTTACAAAGTTGTTGCTAGAGTTTTGCTTAACAGAATGTTGGGAGTTATGCCTAGGATTATTTCTGAAGAACAAGCGGCTTTCGTGAGGGGTAGATCAATATCAGACCATCTTCTTTTGGCTCAAGAAATTTTTAACAAACTGAGATTTTCTAAAGCTTGTAATGGATTCTTGGCAATTAAAGTGGACATGGAGCAAGCGTATGATAGCATGTGCTAGTCAACATTGGAGAAGATGATGATAGAGTTGGGGTTCCCTACCAGGTTTGTTCATTTGGTGATGGAATGTATCATTGATCCTAAGTATTCTATATGATCAATGGTTCAAGTTCTCGTTGGATTGAGGGGAAGAGTGGCTTTCATCAGGGATGCCCTCTATCACCATTTCTTTTTATCCTTTGTTCCCAACTTCTTTCTAACGCCTTTCACAGCAGGGGTAATGATGTGGGTATTAGGATCTCTTCTAATACCCAAAAGATTTCTCACCTTTTATTTGCAGATAATATTTTGCTATTTATGGAAGCTAAAGTGAATGTGTTGAAGAAGGTTAGAGAGATCATGGAGAATTATTGTAAGTGGACTAGTCAAAACATTAACTACCATAAATCTTCCCTGGTTTGTGGTAGTTCGATGGATAGGAGGAGGAGCGTACAGATTTCCAGATTTATGGGTATTAAATTGGTTGATGGTTTGAGTACTTGGGTATCAAATTGGCTTTGAGACGTTTGAGGAAGGTAGACTTTCAGGTTTTATTGGATAAATCCAGTAAAAAAATTAATCTTGGGGGAATAGATATGTCTCCTTGGCCGGTAGACTGGTTTTGGTTAAGTCAGTTTATCTTTCTCTTCCTGTTTTTATCATGACTCGCTCTCTTATCCCTATGAAGACGTTGATGGAATTTGAGAAGATTTGTAGAGATTTTATCTGGAATAAATGTGATGGCAAGAGGGGTATTCATTATGTGGCTTGGGAGCAAATTTGTAAGCCAAAACTGTATGGAGGTT